CTCTCTCTCTCTCTCTCTCTCTCTCTCTCTCTCTCTCTCTCTCTCTCTCTCGTTCCCCCTCGCTCTTCCTCTCTCTCTCCCTTTCCCCCTTTCTCCCCCCCGCTCTCTCTCTCTCTCTCTCTCTCTCTCTCTCTCTCCCTCTCCCTCTCCCTCTCTTTGTCTATTTTCATTTAAAAAACAAACCAACAGTAAGTACACATTTACCGCGCTCTTAGCTTAACATAACACGAAGTCATACCTATTACATACATTCTCTGATCTTGCACGGGCCATATCGGTAAAACAATAACTTAGATTCCCGACTGACGTGACACTCAGACCACAAGACCCGGAAACAGCCAGAAAGAGACCGTGACATTGGTCAGTCGGCCGGCAGAGACCAGCCAGCAGCCAGCCAAAGGGATCTACCTGCACAAGACGAATGTCTGGGACGACCAGCAGGTGATAACTGGCACGACATGTATTCAGACGAGTAACGACCGACGGCACGGCCCAGTGATGCTGGGCGGGAGCCAAACTCCTTGGCGGGAGCCCAAATGTAAATCTGCATATCCAGTTCTTGAGTCTGATTTTAATAACTAGGTTGAAGACCCAGCCCGTTTCGACTTACTAATTTTCGAACTGATTTCTCAATCGAAGTCGAGATCATCTGGGTCAGGCCTGCTTTCTGTGAGATGGAGCAGAGGCACGGTGGAGCAGGCATAGCGAAGTCTACCGTAACAACGCACACAGTTTGCGATGGGGAAAGGGAAAGAGAATGAGGAAGTGGTTTTGGGGGGGGGGGAGAGGCAGCAGGAGCCTGTATGTAAGAAGCAAATCCAGACTAATCTGAAATTCTTGGAAGCCAGGCTTAATTTTAGACTGGTTTGGATCTAAATCAACCAGCACCAAGTCAAGAGGGAAGCAAGTTTGGGTTTGGGATTGTGTCCCTGAGCAGGCCTGAATTCAGTTTGACTCCGTTATATCCAGTTGTTTTCGACTAGTTAACCTGGATATCCAGGTAATAAAAATCTAAGTCGATGCCCAGCCCAACGGTCCATCCCGTGGCCCCACACACACACACCTGCTTTATTCAGTTTCTCTCCTGCAAGCTTTGGCATGGCAATATGAATCGAGCTCACGATAGAAACCAGCATCAGAGCGTCTCCATTTCAGATAGATTCCCTACAGGGGAGCCGCCTTGCTGCCTGATTCTCCACCCCAACCCCCCTTCTCCCCTCTCCCCTGAAAAGCCCCTTCCTCACCTACCCTCACCATCCCATCTCCATCACCACCCTCCCCTACCCCACTCAAAGGGAAAGCACAAAGTTCTCTGCTCGCCCATGCGCTTCGCACAAGCTCTCTCTGACAAAAAGCACCAAAAGAAACAGGAATTGAAACTGATAACATTTTTGTCGGTTTAATGGGTTCGTTCTATCACTTTCTATATCTGCTCGGTTTCAGCCTCCTCTCCAATCACCTCAGGCCCATTTTCAAAGTCGCAGATGGTTTCATTTCTCGTGAAAACGAAGTGCTGAGTAGTGAGGTGACTCCATGGGCTAGCGAGTTGCGCTGATCTGAAAAACTGGCCGAAAAAGGTTAAAAAGAACTGCGTTTTTATTAAGTATCCAAGGTAATGTACACCCATAGGCCTACCCAGTTCCTTTCCCTACCCTATAGACTACCCGCTTGCATCTCCCTTCTTCCCACAGTATCACGTGGTCGCTGATTTGTGAACTTACACATTTCATTCAGAAAACACCCACGAGTTACGCTATCTACCTGGATTTCTTTTTTTTTCTTCTTTCTGTCTGTCTTTCTTTTCTTCTTCCTTCCTTCTCTTTTTTCTTCCCCACCACCCCCTCTACCTCTTCTCCTCCTCGTCTTCTTCCTTCCTTTCTTTCTTTCTTTCTTTCTTTCTTTCTTTCTTTCTTTCTTTCTTTCTTTCTT